ACTCAGCCTACAGTTTAGGCCTATTGTCTTATGTATGACCCTTTGTCCTGCGTGACAGTGAATACCAGCATTATCCTCACTTTAATAAGACTATCAAAATCCTCAGATTACGCAAAATTGTAATTAATTTTGTCAATAAAGATAATAATAATAACCATAAACAAAAATGGTGTCCCAGCATGAAGGAGCTAACAGACAACGGTAGCAACATCTACGGAATAGCCTGTGCCGAAAAAATTTAGTTGCTCACGAAATTAACTTCTCTAACTTTGGTCGGTTAGTCATCGGAGTCGCATAAACATGAAATCATAAAAATAATTCGACATCATCCACACAAAAACTCCCAATAACTTCCGGTACTAGACGGCTCGGGAATGTTAGCAAGCTATTAAACTGTACAAATTTCATAAATTTTCGTTCATTGCATGAAGAACCTTGAAGCAGCTAAAAAAAACCCGGAATGATCTTTACCTCCTGGCATGCAGTCACTTGAACCACCAACAGAGTGGATAGCGGGACAAGCGGATGAAAGAAGTTCGACCATTATCAGTATTATTGACTATTTATTGCCATTATAATTCATTTGCATTCACCTAGTTGTGCTTGCGGGGGTTGAACTCTGGCTCTTTCGGCCCGCCTCTCAACTGTAAATCCATCAATTTTTATTTTTACTTTTCACACACACACACAAACACAGAGGAAGCAGCCCGTAGCAGCTGTCTAACTCTCAGGTACATAAGAACATAAAAACAAAGGTAACTGCAGAAGGCCTATTGGCCCATACGAGGCAGCTCCTATTTATAACCACCCAATCCCACTCATATACATGTCCAACCCACGCTTGAAACAATCGAGGGACCCCACCTCCACCACGTTACGAGGCAATTGGTTCCACAAAGTAACAACCATGTTACTGAACCAGTATTTACCCAAGTCATTCCTAAATCTAAACTTTTCCAATTTATACCCATTGTTTCGTGTTCTGTCTTGTGTTGATACTTTTAATACCCTATAAATATCCCCTTTGTTATGTCCATTCATCCACTTGTAAGCCACTAACAAAATGTTGTTAGTGGAGTGCCTCAAGGCTCTGTCCTGGGACCTCTGTTGTTTATAATATATATAAATGATTTAGATTCAGGTTGAGTAGCAGCATCTGCAAATTTAAGAACATAAGAACATAAGATCAAGGTAACTGCAGAAGGCCTATTGGCCCATACGAGGCAGCTCATATCTATAACCACCCAATCCCACTCATAAACAATTTGCAGATGATACAAAAATCAGTAGGGAAATTAACACGGAAGAAGACTCACTATCACTTGAAGCTGATCTAAATAGGGGTTAGAAATGTTCAAAAGATTGGCAGATGCAGCTTAATGCTGATAAATGTAATGTTTTGAGGCTAGGTAATGATGATAGAATTACAAGATACGAGCTAGATGGTGTTGAGATTGCGAAGTCGGATTGCGAAAGGGATCTGGAAGTTATGATTAGTAAGAATTTAAAACAAAAGGATCAGTTCCCCAAATTAGAAATCTTTCATATGAAGAAAGATTAACAAAGCTCAAGTTGCATTCACTGGAAAGGCGAAGAGTTAGGGGTGACATGATAGAGGTTTACAAGTGGATGAATGGACATAACAGGGGGGATATTAATAGGGTATTAAAAATATCAACACAAGACAGAACACGAAACAATGGGTATAAATTGGATAAGTTTAGATTTAGGAAAGACTTGGGTAAATACTGGTTCAGTAACAGGGTTGTTGATTTGTGGAACCTATTGCCGCGTAACATTGTGGAGGTTGAAAAACATAAATTAATAATTGAGTCGCAACATGGTTTTATAAATGGCCGTTCATGTTTAACAAATTTGTTATCTTTTTATTCTAGCATTGTTGAGGCAGTTGATAGTGGTAAGGATTGCGATGTTGTATACCTTGACTTTAGCAAAGCTTTTGATACAGTGCCACATGAAAGACTGATTAAAAAAATAGAGTCTCATGGTATTGGGGGTGCTATATTAAGCTGGATTAGGGCATGGCTATACCAAAGGAAACAGAGAGTTAGTATAAATGGAATCAAGTCAGAGTGGGAAAATGTTGTAAGTGGAGTGCCTCAAGGCTCTGTCCTGGGACCTCTGTTGTTTATAATATATATAAATGATTTAGATTCAGGTTTGAGTAGCAACATTTGCAAATTTGCCGATGATACGAAAATCGGTAGGGAAATTAATTCGGAGGAGGACTCACTATCACTTCAAGTTGATCTAGATAGGGTTTTGAAATGGTCAAAGGATTGGCAGATGCAGTTTAATGCTGATAAATGTAAAGTTCTGAGGTTAGGTAATGATGATAGAGTTACAAGATACGAGCTAGATGGTGTTGTGATTGCGAAGTCGGATTGCGAAAGGGATCTGGGAGTTATGATTAGTAAGAATTTAAAACAAAAGGATCAATGCATAAATGTTCGTAATAAGGCAAATCGGACACTTGGATTTATTAATCGCAGCGTTAGTAACAAGACACCTGGTGTGGTTCTCAAGCTATATCTTGCTCTAGTTAGGCCCCATTTAGATTATGCAGTTCAGTTTTGGTCGCCATATTATAGAATGGATATAAATTCACTTGAACGTGTCCAGCGTAGGATGACTAAGTTAATTCCCCAAATTAGAAATCTTTCATATGAAGAAAGATTAACAAAGCTTAAGTTGCATTCACTGGAAAGGCGAAGAGTTAGGGGTGACATGATAGAGGTTTACAAGTGGATGAATGGACATAACCGGGGGGATATTAATAGGGTATTAAAAGTATCAACACAGGACAGAACACGAAACAATGGATATAAATTGGATAAGTTTAGATTTAGGAAAGACTTGGGTAAATACTGGTTCAGTAACAGGGTTGTTGATTTGTGGAACCAATTGCCGCGTAACATTGTGGAGGTGGGGTCCCTCGATTGTTTCAAGCACGGGTTGGACAAGTATATGAGTGGGATTGGGTGGTTATAGAATAGGAGCTGCCTCGTATGGGCCAATAGGCCTTCTGCAGTTACCTTTGTTCTTATGTTCTTATGTTCTTAGGTGGGGTCCCTCGATTGTTTCAAGAATGGGTTGGACATGTATATGAGTGGGATTGGGTCGTTATAGATAGGAGCTGCCTCGTATGGGTCAATAGGCCTTCTGCAGTTGCCTTTGTTCTTATGTTCTTATGTATATGAGTGGGATTAGGTGGTTATAGATAGGAGCTGCGTTGCATGGGCCAATGGGCCTTCTGCAATTACCTTTATTCTTATGTTCTGCAGACACAAACAATGCTCTCTTCTGTCATGTTAGGGATTCTAATCATCCTATTGATTGGTCTTCCTCCAAAATATATTTTCTTGCCTCTACTCTACACAGACGCCGTCTTGTTGAATCGGATCTAATATACAACATACCCAACATAAACTTGAGTCCTGACTTTGTTCCTGTGGACTCTTCCCTTTCACAGTATATACTCAAATGCTGTAATCTTTCTAACAAACGTGACCTAACATAAACTTACCCTTCTATTTATCTTTCTTTCTCTTTCCTTTTACGTGTTCTGTCCGTTATTTTCTCTTACGATCCCTTGCTATCCTCTTCTTATTCCTACTACTATCCCATTCTTATTGGGTTGTTATAAATAAGAGTTGCTTCGCATGGGCCAATAGACCTTCTGCAGTTACCTATGTTCTTTTTCCTGTTACTATCCCCTCTACTACACCTTACCTTGCATACCTCCTCACCTCTCTCTTTTACCTATTTATTGCCGTCATCTCATTCCCTGACCACAATCGACTTGAGAATCTTACGGGACGGACTGAAACGTCGTCGTCCTTTCATTTTCTAGTGTGTGGATTGGCCAACATACAAGTAAGTCATTTAGGTATAAGGTAGATTACATGGAGTTAATTTTGGGTCCTTTGATTTGTAGAGCATTTCTAGTTTGATTAAGTCGTACTCTTGGAATATCAAATAGGTATTTCTGGTGTGGTGCCCATGGGTTCTGTTACAACCTTCTAAGAAGCTTTTAAGGTCAGGATTGACATTACAATTCAGAGCTTTAAATAAATACAGGACTCATAAGAGGATGTGCAGTGACTTGATATTCAGAGATTTGAGTAAGGGTACCTAGTGCTGTCTGGGACCAGAGTTAGATATTGTTCTAATAAAACCTTTGTGTAGGGTAATTAGAGAACGTAAATGATTTTGGGAAGTTGAACCAAGCACAAATACTATAGTTGAGGTAAGTGAAGATGAGAGAGTAATAGAGCGTCACCTGGGCAGAGCGAGGTACATAATATCTGATCTTAGAAAGAATGCCAACAGTTTTAGAAACTTTTTTTGCAATATTTAGAATGTGTCCCTAGAAATTCAGCTTGTTATCGATGAGGACATCATCAACCATCAAAGTAAAGTGCCATCAATTTTACTACTGATTTGTATATTGTTTATTCTTAGATTACTTTCATTTGAGGATTTATTACCAAACAAAATATAGAAAGTTTTGTCAATGTTAAGGGTGAGTTTGTTAGCAGTTAGCCTAAGATATACTAGGGTGATGATCTGAAAACAGATCTGTTACAATAGATGATGTGCACCAGATGTGAAAGACGTTGAAACCAACCCAGGTCTAGAATGCCTCCACAAATATTCAAGGTCACCCACAATCTGTGCATCTTGGTGACTATTTAGTAGCTAAATAGTCCTTTTGTCTTGCATTGTAGTCACCAAGTATGATGGTTGGTTCTGCTTGAGCGCAGGCTGAAAGATCAATATAATTTAACTTTCCTGCTGGAGCATATAGATTCTACGAGTGTAAGTTCTACGAGTCTCACAAATATTACATCGCCAAACAATGATGCAACACATACAATTATATATCATTCATATGTAGCCATTAAAAGTATCCAATACAAAATTTATCACCGAATCTAGTAAAATATAATACACACGTCAAGACTAATACCTTTAGGATCGTAGTCACCCCGGCTGGTAGTGTAAACAAATATTGCATCACGCATGTGTCGCGGGTTGAGTTTCTCAAGTTTTCTTGCAAATATTAGGTATTTTACGCATTGCTGGGTGTTTAAATGTATGTGTAGTTTTGTTTATAAATGACATTGATGGGCATGTGTCCTATCAATGTCACAGACCTGTCACAGTGAGTAGGGGTTTGAACAATTCTCAGCAGCTTCCTGGTGAACTCTCAGCAGGTCCCTGCTGAAGGTAACGGGAGAATTCTCGGTACCCTTACTCAAATCTTTTAATATGTTGGATCTTAAGTCACTTAAATCAACTACTGTATGTATGTACTTTTCCTGAATAAAAATTTATTTATATTATTATTATTATTTATTTATTACAATTGTTTTAATAAACATAAATTCTTTTGAAGTTAAATGTTAATATTTTGTGTTAATGGTCCACATTTTTTTCCAGATTACATTTTCAAGCATGAGTCTAATGGCCAAAGGAGCGGCTGAAGGGCCAGGTTTCATTGGAATTCGATTTTGTCAAGAGTGCAATAACATGTTATATCCTCGAGAAGACAAGGCAAGTACTGTACTATACATTACATACATAATTATGAAGAATAATCACAGACATGTGATTCGGTTATGTGTTATCCACTACAAAATTGAAACAATTCAGAATTTTTGCTTCATTTTCCTAGTGGATATAAACCTGAAAAGTTTCATGTTTGTTAACTCCATTTCATCCACGTAGCCATATTTACATCATTTGTAGTTTTAATTTTCATCAAATTAGAATATAGGTTTTCAGTATAGTTTACTGTAAAAAAATTGTCAGTAGTGCATTTGAAACATGTGGCAAATTAAGACCAAAAAAAATTATAACTCCAAATGTATAAAGTTTATGAAAAATCCATTCTGGAGAGATTGTAAAACAGACAGCTGAGCACACAATATGTCAAAATAGTGAGAATCGGTCAAAAACTGGAATTTTAGAAGCCACTCAAAGTTGAGACTCTAGTTTCGGAGGTAATTGAAGTCGAAGTTATCATCAATGAATATAGGTAGTTTTAATTTGTTAATTTAATTGTACAGTATATTTTAATAAACATTGTTTGGCATTCTTACTCGAATATGTGAAAGCTGTAGGTCAATATATGTTAAAATGAAGTCAAGAAAAAATAACCCCCAAAAACACATAATATCGGGATAATTATAGTAACTATAATGATTTTGGGTATATATTTATGGTATACTTTATATAAGTGAAGAAGCCCTAATATGGTCCCTAATCATCAAAACAACCTAAAGAGACAAAGAAAATAGAGTTTGAAATCAGAAAAAATCAGCCAAAAAAATTTAAAGTCCCAAGTTTTGCGACTTGTGACTAATTTTTTGTTGACCAATTATGTATTTCTCAGCAAATGATATGAAAGCACCAACTGCATGTCCACTTAGTGTAAGCCTACAGTGTAATTTACAATTGAAGTTAATTAATTTACAATTGAAGTTAGTGAATCAACTCCAATGGCTTAGGCATGTAGAGAATGTATGATTGTAAGTTAATGAAGAAAACATGCTAGTGGAGAATTCATCTGCTATCCCGTTCTTTAGTGGAAAATGCTAAACATTATTGGGTATAAATTAATAGTTACTAAACAATACATTCTTTTATTAACTACTAGTTAGTGCATAAAAGGAATGATTTTTTCTATTATGTGTGGTGAAGTGCCATTCTGTCAATTACTCTGTCAACCAGGTTATCTATGATTTATTTCAGTTATTTTATTTACTAACAATTTCAATTTGCATTAAATTAGCTGGAACACACTTGTAAAATTGATTACTGTATTTTAATTATAATTATTTCTTTTAGGAGAACAAGATATTGCTGTATGCTTGCCGAAACTGTGATTACAAGATGCCAACAGAAAATAATTGCATTTACGTAAATAAGCTCATGCACGAGATCGACGAACTGCGTCACATTAATCCAGAAGTTGTACAGGTAAGAATTTGGATGTTCTCTTCTTGGCATACGATGTTACTACAATATTTTAGTAATCATTACTATATTTACGGAATTGTATTTTCTGTGTAGGCTTCCCTGCAATAGCTCTCTTAGTTTCAGGGTCTGATACCATTGTGCCATGACAAATACCAACTTGCTCCTTACATGGGAAAGGGAGAGACTTTCCCATCACCTGCCATCCAACAGTGAATGTCACAAAACAGTGGTTTGGCCTAGTTAATGATTGTTTACACAGTCAGTATTGCAAATGTTATATATATGCAGTTTATTTTGGTGCGCTCTACCTTTCTGGTGGTGTTTCTCTATGCTACTGTGATAATCCTAGATACCAGGACTCCCCCCCTTTTTCTATTGAGGAACCAGATTCTGGTACTGGTTTCCAGTAGCCATTCATGTGAATCGATAGAGCCTTGTCTAACCTTCAGTACTGTACAAGTGTCCAGGTGGGTAGCTACCAAGGGACCCACCAGAAAGATGCATTTCATTCCATTCAAAGCTAATTTGTTATTTTTTTTTAAAGGACCCGACACTACCTCGCACTGACGACCATCCTTGCCCTCGATGTAATACACGTGATGCAGTATTCTTTCAAGCACAAACCAGGAGAGCTGAAGATGAGATGAGACTGTATTATGTGTGTTGCAACACTGAGTGTACACACCGCTGGACGGAGTGAATTTCTGATTCTTTAGGATTATTCATTTTGCACACAGCTTTCTTGGTGAATAAACTAATTAATTTAGGATATGCAGTTTCTACTCTATTTGGAAGAGTAATATAGTTTCATTTAATTTATGGATTTTTTTGCCATGGTAGATTATGTATAGCTGTAGGACCATAACTTCTGATTGGAAAAATTGCCAAGGAGTTTCTGTTTACCATTGCTTTGGTTTACTCTAACCAAAAACTTTCCAAATTGGATTCAAGGCCTTATTGAGTTTAATATTTACCAGAATATCATTTTGTTTTACCAGAATAAAGAAAACTTACCAGAATATATTTTTTAATGATTTCAGTTTCCTTAGTCTGTTAACTATCCACTGTGTCAGATATGTCATGCCAATATCTGGATAATGTGTTAGACAGATGAATGAAAATTGAATAATGTTATAAATAATGGTGTGTTGGGCTTCTATGGGGGACTGGTACTATTAAGGGGTAAGGGTAGTTAGAAGACAGAGTATCAAATATGGGAGAGCTAAAAGGCCCGGCCCCCAAAATAAACTATCCACAGTAGTAATCACTTGCTACTAGACCATATATGTTAGTCTAAGGGTTGATCAAGGCGCTCCCACACAGGAAGAAGGGATACTCTGTAATTCATGTACTTATTTATTAACCCCTTAACAACCCCCCATATACACTCACACCAATAACAATAATAATAATAACTTTACCACACTATCTTACGTTAAAAGCCTTGGTCCACATAGGCAGGATACAAGGTTTACACTAATAACAAGCTAGGGTAAAGTACTACTGGATAAGCACTGAAGCTGGATGCAGCTTAGGGTAGTGCGACCCCACGTGGTACCCTAATACAAAACACAACACTTAGGGTTACCCAAAACACTGGCAACTATTACCCCCAGGTCTCACCAATCGTTACTACCAGAGAAGGTACACTTAGAATCATACAATACTTAACTTAATGGTACAGGAACTTAAGGTAAGGGAAATAAGTAAGAGGAGAAGGGAGGAGATTAGGGGTGCAGCCACAGAGTAGGTCTCGTTCGCACGAACGCCAGCCAGAGAAGAACTTCCTAGCGACCAGCTAGGCCTCCCATGTCGTGGTGCCGGAAGGAGCCTAATTGATCGTGCAGCTAAGCACATTAAAGATCTTCCCCTATGCAATGTATTGTTACTTTACAAATGATCAGAAAGTATTAATAAGCAAAGTTGGTGCCTATGTTATTATTTAATAATCAACCCCCAGCTCAGTCTTTAAATGCTCTTTGAGAAACAATAATAGTCTTACGTCTGGCAGGGAAGATACAAACAATTGCCGCTCGAGATGCACTCAACTGTACTATCAGAAAGTTTAATAGCTCAATTTTGACCTCTGGTTTCCACTGGAGAACCCAGGGTCGTAACAAATAACAATACCTTCTACCTTAATTTGTCATATATCCATTTAGGTTATATGACATAACATATGATATAGTTCCAGTTCAACTGTTAAAAACTACAATGTTTTTTAAACATCTTGATTTCTTTGAATATATAATTAGCTGACTTATTTCCATTTGGGGCCCACAACATTATTTATACCTAGTAAATTTCCTAATCCCGCTTAGTCATATTGGTTTGAATAATAAATTTGTGGTTTTACTGTTTTCATACTTTATGGGTATTAAGGTTTAGCACCTTGCTAAACTGTATACATTAAAATACATTACATAGCTGAATTGTAAATATATTTTTCTGTTAATTTGCTGGAATCTATGAGATTCCAGCAAAGTATTAGTAATTTAGGTATTTTAATTTAGGCTTCAGATTCTAAATGCACGAAAAATATTTGCTCGTGAAGCTGGGAGATTCTACCTCTGTATGTCAAGGCTGAGCATTTTCTGATACAGTAACCTATCCAATATCTAACTTGTGTGTAAGTTTGGCATGTAAGGATAAAGAAATTACAAATGAACTTAAAATTTGCAAAATCACTTTAACATCAGAAGCTCAACACCTCATCAGAGGCTTTGTATAGTCTCTGATGATCTTTATGATGTCTCTTTGTATAGTCTTTCTTACATGTGTACTAGCTTATGTTTACTGATTTTTGTGCACTGACTTGCAAGGAATTTCTAATGGATACTTAACTGAAGTCATGGTGCAACATAGTTGTGTAAATTTGACTTGCTATTTTTATAATTGCGTAACTCCTTCACTCTATGGAGTGATGACCTGAATTCTATTGATTCAGTAACCGAGAGATGCTCTATATGGACTGAATAATAAATACATTTATATTAGTGGTTTATTATAATTAACCCTATTTTCAATTTATGGTATGTAGAGGCATTTGTCCAGATACACTGTATCATAATTGAGAAAGGAAGGATTAAAGCACCCTGTGGTCGGCATACGCGACCATTTTCCTCACAAGTGAGAAGACCTGTATTCAAACCCTGGGCCAGGTGGGATGATTGGGTATTGTTCCTTTACTAATCACTCTTGTGCACACAGCAGCAGTTGGTGCCATGGATGTATAGTGATTTTTGGATCATGTTTCAGGGCAGTGCTTCTCAACCTTTTTCAACATTATTCACATTCACATAACATTTTTTTGGGATGAGCCTTTTGGAGTCTCATCCAATAAAAGCATGAAAGTAGAAGATACAGATACAAAAGATCATCTTCTTTTGGGGTGCATCTATCGAGGGCTGGGGTGGTTGTTGTGAACTCGTTGGAACAAGTGGTTGGCGGTGTTTGTCTGGGTTTGGGTTTAAACTGTTAGTAGATAGTGGTATGGAAATTGATATGGAGGAAGGAGGTAATAAAAGTGTGTTTGTGGGAGAAACAAATTGGTAAAATGATCAGGGAAAGAGAAGGCCCTCAAAAAAACAATTCACTTCGGGTATATTACACTAACAGTAGAAGTCTTAGAAACAAATATAACGATTTAAATGCTTGTCTGCACATAAAAAATTGATATTATTGCACTTACCGAAACGTGGATGAATGTAGAAAAGAGAGAACTATTAGCTGAATATCAAATACAGTACTGTAAATGGATTTAAACTATTTCACATAGATATATTTGACGAGGAGGGGGAGTAACAATATATGTTATAGAAAATTTGAAATGTAGTCTGCTAACTATCCACTGTGTCAGATATGTCTCAAAGAGGGAATCAAAACTGAGCCACATACAGAAACTATTTGGATAGAATTAAACGAAAGAGCAAATAATCTTATAATAGGAGTTATATACAGGCCACCAAACTTAAACAGGATGGAAGCAAAGCACCTATGGGATGAAATATCTAGGTCTAGCAGTATTTGTGTCATGGATGACTTTAATTTTAGTGGAGTAAATTGGTTTAACAGAACAGGAAATAATGAAGCAGAAGATTTTCTAGAATTAATTGACGATTGCTCTCTTAGCCAACACATTACGGAACCACCGCGGGAAAATAATATTTTAGATATAGTGTTAACTAACAGGGAAACACAAATTAATGACATTGAAATAGGGAGTGAGCTAGGGAACAGTGATCACAAAGAAATCAGATTTAGCATAGAATGGAATAGTTCTGTAGGAGAAAATTTTGTTAAAATGCCAGATTTTCGAAAAGTTGATTTCAATAGCCTAAGAAAATTTTTGGGTTAAATAGATTGGAAAGTCTTGGGCATGGGGGTGGGCCGGTCTTGGAGCGAGACATGAACCCAGCGATAGGTGACGTAAAACGGGAGATCGAATACCCAATGTGGATAACAAAAGATCTGAAGAACCTTATAGGTAAAACAAGAGCGTGGTACAAAAGGATTAAGAATGGGGAAGTCAGTTTAGAACAGGAATTCGTACAACTGGTTAAAAATGTTAGAAAAAGAGAGAAGGAAAGCAAAAAGAAACTATGAAGTTCGCATAGCAGGGCAAGCAAAGACAAATTCTAAAGGTTTTTTTTTCAGTTATATCGAACAAAGACTAGGGAAAGGATAGGTCCATTAAAAACTGAGACAGGTCTAATAACGGATAATGACAAGGAGATGACTAGTATTTTTAATAAATATTTTATATCTGTATTTACTAAAGTAAGTAATTATCAAAAGAAGGCACCAAACCGGGAAGGCTATGTAGCAACATCAAACGTGTGGAATAATCAGAGGGCACTAAATATCATCAAGGATGCCAATACGAGAACAGAAACGCATAAGGCGAACGATATCAAAAGTATCCGATTCACCTAGAATTCTATTGAGGGACAAGTGACCGCGAGGGACGGTTGGAAAGCAAGACACACGCTCGTCCTGGAAGTCAGGACATTCAACAGGGATATGCATGATCATAAGAGATGCAATTTGGACAATAAGGAGCTGGGCGGCGCTCCATTAAGCGTCTGTGAGTTAAGCCGTTTCCCACTGCCGGTTACAGTGGCAAGAGGAAGGTCACGGGGACACAATACTGAAGAGTATGCAGTTTGTTACCAACAACAGATGGCCAACGGGCAAGGATGGAGAAATGAATAACCGGGTAAAAGTCGGAAAACGGACAAGAACGGGAAAGTTCTTGTCCCATTACGGGAAATGGGACAAGAACTGATAGCCTCTCTATCGGCAGCATCTGCATGCTCATTTAAAGAAACAAGAATATGGCTTGGAACCCAGCAAAACTACGGATTTAAAGTTACTAGAGATAAGAAACAGCCAATGTTGAATCTCGACGACTACCGGACAGGATTAAAGGACCCGAGAGCTACGAGGGCACTACGAGTCAACTACAATCAAAAAGGAGGATTGACAATGAGAAAGCAGGAAACGGAGAGCATAGAGAATAGCATAAAGTTCCGCTGTGAAGATGCTAGTCTCCGAAGGGAGGCGACACATAAGTGCGGTCAGGAAAAACAACGGAGTAGCCCACACCGTCTGCAGACTTAGACCCATCGGTGAAGATGGAAACGGAGCGAGAGTGTGAAAAGTGCCCGAGAAAAAAAAACCGCTTCAGAACCGTAGGAGGACTAAAAGATTTAGTAACGTGGGTCAAGGATGTACAAAACTTCACAAGGGGGGCCCTCCAAGGGGGCAAGGAAGGAACAATATGAGAAAGACGAATAGAAAGAGAGTCCTGTAAGTGAGATAGCCGGACAGACAGAGGGAGGTGGTGTAGAGAAAAAGGAACTACTGGAGGGGTCAAAGTCAAGGCACGACAGAGGCGAGAGGAAGGATGTTGCAAGGACCGTGCCAGATAGCGATCATTGCGGTTCTTGAGAAATAGGAAGCCAGTGTAGAGCCTCACTCGGGCTGTGTGAGCCTCAGTACTTCTAAAGCAACTAAG